GGCTATTCCCCCCTAAGAAGACATAAGAGAGTCCGTCTAAAACTACAAGTAAATATCTTCTTCCACGTCACCGTCTTCACATTCAAGATCAGCACATACATCCATTGTAGAGCCTCCTGCTTCACAGGTCTCAAACTCAAAAAACTGCACTGAACAGTATTAATCATGCGTCTGCCCGTGAAATGGGTTAAATTATGGTACCAGCACGTTTGCCACTCTTCTAATTGTTCTAAAAAAAAGGGAGGGGGGAAGCAAACCCATTTTACCATCCCCATCTTTAATATCTACCCTTCCACCACTCTGCTATATATCATCTCTCTCTAGACTATTTTTCCAACTATTATCTTTTGCTTTTTAATTATATTTCTATTAAAACCATCTTTATGCAAATATGCTTAAGTGCTTAAAGTAGACATTTCAACCTAATTTGGGAAAAACCTCTGTTGCGATAATGAAATGCTTTTCTTCTCTGTAGTCTTTCATTGAGGAAGATCAGATTTTTCATGCTCTAAGACAGTAATTAAGTAACTCACTTTCTCTCTGCCAAATAGTTTTATCTCCTTCTTTCCCACTTATAAGTATGTTATGTGGTGCTAAAGAATCTCGCACAAATTTAAGCTATGTGATAGGATGGATACTGTTTAGAACAAGAGCTGTTATGGGACTGTGGAATGAGCTGCTATTCAGAACTGCCTCAGGTTAAAGGGTTATTAGTGACAAGCTTACAAAATCCAAAGCTACTACTATTGAGTTGATTCCTACTCATAACGACTATTCAGGATTTCCACAACTATAAATCTTCATGGGAGCTGAGTACACAGAAACTGTGGTGAAGAAACCTGATGGTGTCTGGCTATCAAAAGATATAGCATCTGGGGTCTTAAAGGCTTGAAGGTAAACAAGCGGCCATCTAGCTCAGAAGCAACAAAGCCCACGTGGAAGAAGTACACTGGCCTGTGTGATCATGAGGTGTCTAAGGGACCAGGTATCAGGCATCAAAGAAAAAAATCAAATAATTTTGAATGAGGGGAAGTGCAGATTGGGGACCCAACACCCATCTGTAGGCAACTGGATGTCCCCTTACAAAAGGGTCGCAGGGAGGAGTCTAGCCAGTCAAGGTGCAGTGTAGCAATAATGAAACATATCACTTTCCTCTAGTTCCTAAATGCTTCCTCCCCAGGCGGCTCCCTCCCACTATCATGATCCCAATTCTACCTTACATATCTGGCTAGACCAGAGGATGTACATTGGTACAGATAGGAACTGGAAGCACAGGACATCCAGGACAGATGATCTCTTCAGGACCGTGGTGTAAGTGTTGAACAGGGAGCGTAGAGGGAGAATGGGGTAGAAAGGGGGAACAGATGACAATGATCTACATATAACCTCCTCCCTGGGGGACGGACAACCGAAAAGTGGGTGAAGGGAGACATCAGACAGTGTAAGATATGACAAAATAATAATAATTTATAAATTATCAAGGGTTCATGAGGGAAGCGGGAGCAGGGAAGGAAGGGGAAAAACGAGGAGCTGATGTCAAGGGCTTAAGTGGAGAGCAAATGTTTTGAGAATGATGAGGGCAATGAATGTACAAATGTGCTTTATACAATTGATGTATGTATGGATTGTGATAAGAGTTGTATGAGCCCCCAATAAAATGATTTAAAAAAATTTTTTTTTCTGGGAGCAATCAGCCTCATCTGTAGGGCAGCTGGTGAATTTGAACTGGCAACCTTGCATTTATCAGCCCAGGGCCTATCCCACAGAGCCACCGGAGTCCTTAATGGCATCCTTAAGTAAGTCTTAAAAAGACTGGAGGCTCTGTGACTCCGAGCATAACAAAAGGAACTGCACATTTGGAGCTAAGATCACAGAAGATTCAGTGCATATTAACCAAAACAACGACCTGCCATGGAGTTGGTTCAGACTCACAGCAACCCCAGAGGGCAGATGAGAACTTGCCCTCTGCTTTTCTGAGCAGGAGCGGTGTGAACCACTGACCTCTGGTTAGCAGCTCAATCCAAAGCCCACTGTACTACCACTGTCGATTAGCTGCTTTCAATCTATGAAAAACTGCATGGGAACAAGAGCTATTGCTCAAGACCAAGACCAATACTAGTAAGTTAAGAAATCAGATTTCAGCTATTTCACTGTAAGATTTTTTCAAGAAGTGGGTTCCCACTAGCCAGTTTTCAAACAGAAGCAGGACCTCTGTCTGTCTGGTTGCAGTATTGGAGAAGATAGATTAGATTAAAAGAAAGTTTGTTTCCTTCCAAGTTCAATGGTCTAGTAGTTAAGAGTCTTTAACTTACTTCTTTTTCTTTTTTTTCATAAACCATTTTATTGGGGGATCTTATAGCTCTAATAAAAATCCATACATCGATTATATCAAGCACATTTGTACATAGGTTGCCATCATCATTTTCTTTCTACTTGAGCCATTGGAATCAGCTCCTCTTTTCTCCCTCCCTCCTCTACCCTCCCACCCTCATGAACCTTGATCAATTATCAATTATTATTATTTTCTTATCTTACACTATCTGCTGTTTCCCTTTAACAAGGTTTCTGTTGTTCATCCCCCTGAGGAAGGCAGGGGTCGGGGTGGGGGTGGGGGTGAGGGTGATATTTCTTTTTAAAAGGAAAGTGGAATGAAAAAATATATTTCTTTCTTTCTTTCTTTTTTTAATCATTTCATTGGGGTCTCATACAACTCTTATCACAATTCATACATACATCAGTTGTGTAAACCACATTTGTACATTCGTTACCCTCATCATTCTCAAAACATTTGCTCTCCACTTAAGCCCTTGGCATCAGCTCCTCGTTTCCCCCCTCCCTCCCCATTCCCCCCTCCCTCATGAACCCTTGATAACTTATACATTATTATTTTGTCCTATCTTACACTGTCCGACGTCTTCCTTCATCCACTTTTCTGTTGTCCGTCCCCCAGGAAGGAGGTTATATGTAGATCCCTGTAATCAGTTCTCCCTTTCTACCAATAATTTCTTTCTTGTAAGCTCTCTGTGCCTACTAGATGAATGTGGCAAAGAATGTTCCACGTTCAGAAAAATCCATTTCCTTTTCTACCCGAGTACACACATTCCCGTCTTGTTTGGCCACGTGACTGCGTTCTAGCCAATGAAATGTGAGACGCTACATGCTCCTGCCTCTTGTCCTGGCCCACACCTTGCCCCTGTCAGTGCACTGCAGAGAATACACTCAGAGGCCAGGGGCCCAAAGGACAGATGGAACAAACCTCCTGCCAGTCCTCTCACTGCACCTCCCTCACCCCCACTACAGCCCAAGAACATCCACCTTGGGCTTTCAAACGAGCAAAAATAAGCTTCCACTGTGTTTAGGTCATGATACACTTTGGGGGGGTATTTCTTGTTAAGGGAGTCTGGCCAAGAACAATGTTGTTAGCAACACACATGGTGGCATTAAAGCATTTCAATTTCTTGAGCCAAAATCTACATTATTGGGAGTGAAATCTCCACTTATTTTATCTGCATACGGTCCCAGAAATGAATGAATATGTCAACATGATTATCCAGAAAGTTTTCCCTTTCACACATGCGAGCATGTACAAATGCACTTCAAGTACATTTGCACTTCATTATCACACTTGCCTTTTTTCTTAAAGATGTTATACTTGCTAAACTTTATTTGAAGATTTAAAAACATCATTACACACTTATTACGCCCACTTAAAGATGGGGGAGAGAGAGGATTCATTTACCTGTACTTCTCAGTACACACTATTTGTGTTTCTTCATTACTGACAAGTTTTCAAGTAGTCTCATGTAGTTATTTTTACATGGAGTGCATTGTGCATTTTGGAGAGCTTAGTATTTAGCACTGAATAAATCTAGAATTTCTACCTCTTCTCTTCAAAACACAGCCACTCTTCGTAGTTCGTTTGCTTTTTCCAAAACCTAATGGTACAGTTAAGTGATGGCTAAAGACTTCGCCATATTGATGACGGGTCAGAACAGAGTAAAAACCCAAAGGGTCCAATAAAATAAGATCGCTTTGAATAAAACATATCTAAAACTAAGCAGCCAAACAAGTTTGATTACCTATAAGTCTCTAAGTCTCTCTGGGAGGTTAATACAGAAAGCATTTTGTGAACTCTTTTTTTTTTTGGGGGGGGGGATTTAGTACATTATAAAAGTCACATCACACCCACAAATTCCCAAATGCTGTCATCCATCACCCAGTTTTACCAGCCAGTCACCATATTTATAAAAAATACCCTACAATTTAATTAACACTCCTCATTGTGAATAGTTTCACAAAAATTACTTTAAAAAAGAATAAAAAAGAAATAAAACTTAACCAAAGGTTACCATAAGTGAAGGAGAAAGAGTTGTTGCATAGGGGCATGACTTTATGTTAATAGTGGTGGAATAATTTGGAAAATGACATCAATAATGGTTGTACAATACAAAGAGTATAATCAATGGCACTGAATTATGCTTATAAAAGTTGTGGAATTGGAGAATGTTTTGTTATGTATATTTTTGCCACAATTAGAAAAAAAATAATTACATGAATAACAATGATCCCAAGGAAGAAGTAAAAGTTCTAGAATTGATTGTAGTGATAATTGTACAACACTTCTTGATATAATTGAATTATTGAATTGTTTGACATGTAGATGAAGTGCTAATAAAACTTTAAAATTAAAAAAAATAAAATCATAGAAACCTTTATGAAACAGAAAAAAAGTTTAGTTTGAATTCATTAACATAACACATAAGAAAATAAAGACAAATGCATATACAAATGGATTATTTCCTTTCTCAAAGTCCCTTTTTCAGTCCTACATTTATTCCATCATTTTAGAGCTACTGCATCCTATTCTTCCCTCAACAGGAATGAAGTGTTCATTAGAAAACTTCTGCAATCATGCGAGGTAGAGAGCCACAAACAAATAAATTTATCATACATGTTCATGTGAAGGAAAATAAATATGCAAAAATGTCTATTTGTCTCACCTCCCATCAAACCTGTGCTTCAGGAAATCAAAGAGGGCTTTCTGCATCATGTCTGTTACCTTTGCAGAGGTGAGAAAAAGAGAATGAGGCAAACACAAGCGGAGAGAGAAAGAAGTCAAAGTGAGAGAAGTGAAGTCACCACAACTGAGCTCAGACCCTGTTGTAGCCCGCTAGCCTCTCAAGATAGGTTACTTTGGGAGGCATTTTCATCTTCAATCTCTTGAAGTTACTCATTGCCCCCCCCCCCCTTCCCCAGTGTGCTGAGGAATGAACCAGCAATGTTTTCTAGACCCAAGGCAAAGTCTCATCTCTCCTCACTTTAAGAGGCTAGACTGCTGCTGGGAGACAGTGAGACAGTAGGCTGACTTTAGACCCAAATGCTAGTGTCCTTGCCTCCAGCGAGGGGTAGCTGGAAGGCCTGCACTCAGCACTCCTGTTAGTGTATGCATTCTAGTGGGAATTCTCCGAGGCTGGCCTTATGTAGACCACTCTACTGCCAATTCCCAACTCGGAGAGTGAGAGAGAGACACACAGACAGACAATAAGGATCCTTAGATTTGCCTCCACAAAGAGAATTGTTCATTCATTCAACAAATGTATATTGGGAGCTTACTATATGCCCAGCATTGCTCTAGGTTAGCGGGAAGATTGGAAGTTGTGATCTTCAGATTTTAACATTGTTCCCCTCCCCCTTCCTTTTCATCCATGTGAACACGAAGTCAAGACGGCCACATCTATGGGACATCTAAGCCTCTACTCTTCTCCTTGTTTTGTGGCATTGTTTAATGAATCTCCAAAGAAGCTCACTAACACTTTGTGTGTGGGGTAGTGGTGGTGGTGGTGGTGTGTGTGTGTATGTTTTCGGTGCGATCTTTAAAATAAATAAGGAGAGAAACTTTTGACGGAAGACACTGTGGTCTAGAGCTCCCAGGTTGCTGCCACATTGTTGAAGAATGTTTCTCTGTGCTCTTCATTCTTGAAAACTGACGGCAGTTGAGGGCAGATAAGGAAAGCCCTTTCCTTTACGTTTAACACAGAGCAAATCTTTGACCAGAATGCCCATTGTCATTGTTCTGAGGAAGACGTGTCCAAACAATGTCATGCATAAAAGATGAATCAGGTGCAAGAGGGAAGGAGAAACAACGGGGCCACATAGGCCCTGCATTGCCTCCTTATCCTGAGGGGTGGCATCTATGTATAAACAGATCCTGCAGGAGCGAGGGCCACAGTACTGCCTCCTGACTTCTTCATCAAGAACTGTAGATTATTAACAGACTGGTATTTGTACCTCATAACCCTTCAGTGACGGCCCCACTAACACCACCGGACGCATTGATGGTACCACATCGTAAGGAGGAATGTGCTCCGTCTGAAAAAGATGATTCAACATGCATGACAAGGCGAGGCTAAGCACCTCCTGGATAGACACAACACTCATAATTCTCAGGTCAAACAAAAAGTGATTATAGCAAGTCCCCACCAAAGAGGTTCATCCTCGTTTTACAGCTCTCTGAGTCATAGAATGAGCATTGCAGGCACGTCTACACAAGAACCTAAACACTAGATTTAAAAAGGAAACATGACTTACCACTTTTTGCTTCTGTTTTGCTAAAAGACAACAATGAGAGCAATATCAAAATACACAATCTCAGTACATGGTAGCACATGATCTTAAAAGTTTGAAGAATGTACCAAGTGGTCCTTGGAATTCTCTGAGTCATTTCTAGTACCCATTCTGTATCATTTTGTTGTTTTTATGTCAGCTTTGAAGCCATACAGGAAAAAAGGAGACAGCCTCCACACTGTATGTGTGCTCTTATATTGAGATATTATGTTGGGTAGGGATGGTAGACAAATGTTTGCTACAATACTGAAAGTTTTGGGTCAGTCATTAGCTATATTTCATTCCTGTGCCAGACAGCAGACAATGTATCTGGGAACAATTTAGACACATAAAATTTGGTAGTAAGAAACTCAGAATAACAATTTAGGCAAAAGCAGTCCACACTCCATTTACTGCCTATTTTTGGATTTGTAATTTTGGTGGACCATTTAGAAATTTTGCCATGTTTTATGTGTATAGAGGTAGATTTTTATCCATTTTCCAAAATTTTGGCAAAATCTTATGAGTAAATCTTAAATGCACTTATAACTTACTGTTTTCTTTTCTGTTTGTAATAGTGAAAAGTTTTTTTTTTTTTTAAGTGAATAGTCTTCAGAATAATCTAGATGTCTACCAAATGGGATTGGGTGAAATATACTACATAGCTAACAAAGGTGGGTGTGTAGTCCCCCTGAGAGGTCCAGTCTATGGGGGAGCTAACTCAGAAGCCTAACTTGGTTTAGAGTCCTAGAGACTAGGAGGAATTCACATCAACAGAGTGCCAGATACTCAGAACTGTTCAAGAACCCACTCAGTTTCTTGCTGTATATGAGTGGATTGAATTCTTAAACTCTGTAATACTGGGCGCCCTCCTCCAGCATCAGCTCTGGGTCAGAATAGAACTAGTCTAGTTGATGGCAGTTAGGGAATGTGATGGAACAAGTCCTGCTTCAATTCCTCCTTAGTTTCCAAGGACACAATAGTTTCCCTATTGGGCCACTCCTGTCCCCCATTATCATGCATTCCAGGGCTCAGTTGTCCCAATAAAAATGAGGACACCTGGGCTGAACCTATCCCTCTGTTTCCATCCTCCAGTCTCAATGGCTACACTGAACCAGCAGATCCTTAATGTTCACCTGAAGACTAGAAGAGAGGATTTTCATGACCATCTCTATAACTTTTCATACCTTTTTAAAAATTGGCCCTCACATTCTCCAGATCTGTTGGGTTTTTGGGTGTAATGATGAGCTTGTTTTAAATTGGTGTACACAATTGGAAGTGACTGCCTCTTGGGGGAGGGTAAATACTTTTAAAATTATGTTATGATGATCTGAATTTTTAGTACCCTTTAAGTCAAATCAAATTAATACAGAATGCAAATGAGCTATAAAATATTAAATAGGAGGATCTTGAAACCAAACCTTTAAAATTGCTTCTAAATTAGTAATAATATTTCCATTTATGCTAAAAAATATTAAGAAAGGAATATATCTCATTAGAAAGAGTTTAGCTAAAATCCTCACCTGTTGATGTGGGTGTTGCTCTAAATGTCCCTGAAACCATTTCTCCAAGGCTTGAAGAAGAATTTCCACCTGATTTCCTAGGGCATAGAAAAAGAATTTAAGACAAATTCCCAGATTCTGTGAAAATAGAACTTGAGAATACAAAGCTTTCTTTGGCCTCAATCCTGCTAAATAATTCAAAACATACCAAGTCCTGCTACAGAGAAGAACTTCAAGAATCTGTCCAAATGCTTTCTTTGACCTCATTTCTCAGAGAAAGTGGGGAACTTAGAGGGACTTGGAAATATTTTTGCAAAACTGTCTTTCCGAGACTCCAAAACAGAAATCAGGCAAACAGAAACATGAACAGAAATGCATTTGGGAAGGGCTCTTTGAGTGACCGGCCGCCCTCACCAATAGGCTAGTCAGAATCACACACAGCTCCAAGTAAGTGGTGAGGCCTGCCGCGACCACGTCCTGTAACAGGGTGGTCGAGGGGTGTCAGAATGAAGAATCAGCACCAATAATTTACCCTGACACCGGAAGATCTGTACCTTCCTGAAACCCACAGAAGCCTTTGAAAGCCCATCTCCCTACTTCTCCAGTGTCCTCCCCGCCCTCCATTCTCAGTGACCGAGGGTCGGAAAAATCTGCCTTCTAACCCTGGCCTTTGTACTAAGCCAGGGTTGGAACTTAAGCATGTGAAATACATCTGTGAGTCTTAATTCCCATCTACAGAAGAAGATAGAACTTACACCTCACAGGGTTGGTACAAAAGGATGCCGCTGAGCTCCTTCCTGGCTTTATAATGCGTCTGCCACAGTGAGGTTTCCAAGCAAATTTATAGTCACGGCGGTGTTCCCGTTCAAAGTTTTATAATATTAAGAAATAATAGTAAACAATAAAATCCCACGTTGCCAATACTAGTAATTACTGACTAATTCACTTGACTACTTACCGAGTGCCTTTTCCTTAAAGAGTCACATTCTAGTTGGAAATATCGAGGCCAAACGGAAAGGCAAACACAAAGGGGCTTCAGAAAATATGTGGAAAAATGTAATAGAAAGGTAATGGAATTTGTCCACGAAGCTTTTGAAGGCCCTCATAGATGATCTATCTGACCGTATTCGGTGCAACGGAATAAGCAAAGTCAGGACAGGGACAGAGAGCAGAAGAAAGAGCGGTGATATTCAGCACACGGCTGAGTGCTTCGGTAGACGTGGTGGATTTGGTGAGGCAATGGTTCCAGGAAGAGAAAGGGGCAAGAGGCAGGCACACAGGAGGGTGAGTCCAAATGTCCTATGCCTTGGTCCCCAGTTCATCCATCCACGGGGCTTATTCCAAACACCCTCTGAAGACAAGTTCCCTCCGTCATAATACACTTGCCTTAGTTTCGTCAAAACCAAAACCTCACCGCCATAGGGTTGATTCTGACTCATAATGACCCCATAGGGGCAGGGTAGAATTGTCCCTGTGGGTTTCCAAGACTGCAGCTCTTTACAAGAGTGGAAAGCCACACCATTCTCCCTCGGAGCAGCTGGTGGATGTGAACTTCTGACCCTGTGGTTAGCAGCTCAACACATAACCCACTGCGTGGCCAGGGTGCCTTCAAAAAGTGCCCAATACACGATTCTGAGGGGATCTTCCAGACCAGTTAAATCAAGACAGAGAGGCCAGCTCGTAAGGTGATGGCGACTGTTTATGGAAATTCCAAAGGGTCATTTTCCAAGGACACAGGATGATCCCGAGGACTTTAATTAGATGGACATTTTAAGAACAATGAAAACTGCATCGGTGAGAAAACAGGGCAGAAAAGTACTAAGAAATTTTTATCAAAAAAAGACATTTTTATCCATGACAACACTGCGGTCAATTCTGACCCATAGTGGGACCTTATAAAAGGGTTTCTTTCTTTTGGGGAGCAGTTAGCCTCATCTTTCTCCCTTGGAGTGAGGGTGGTGGGGTCGATGGCTGACCTTGAGGTAGCAGGCGAACACTGACCCAACAGGGCCACTGCAGCGCCTAGCCCAACAATGCACCTGCAGAATTCTTTGAGGGTAGCAAGGTCATTCTACCAGAATCTCACTGGGAAATCTTACTCATTCTCCCTAAAGCCCCGATCTTGCCCCTTCAGACTTCTTTCAGTCCGGAAACTCAAAGAACATTTTAAAGGAACACAGTGTGGGTCCCTCAAGGAGCTGTTTTGATATGGGGAAAATTAAGGGGCACAGAATGCTTCACAGGAGAGTTAGTGAGGTGGGGACACAGCCTTCAAAAATGCCTGGAATCGAGATGGAGGGTATGTTGAGAAATCATAGTTTTATATTTTAATATGCGGCCTTAATAAAGGTTTCTATGATTTTGCAGCACTATTTTTTTCCCCGACTGACTCTCCTATGTCCCCAATGTGTTCAAGAACCAGTAAGAGAACAGGAAATGAGAGAGATTAAGAACTAATAATGGTCCAGGCAAAAGGCCAGCTCTCGGCTGCTAACCAAAAGGTTGGTGGTTTGAACCCACCCAAGAGCTCTGCAGGTGAAAGACTTGGTGATCGGCTTCCGTAAGGATTGCAGCCAAGAAGATCCTGGAGAGAAATTCTATTCTGTCCAATGGGGTTGCTAGGCCGAGAGTGAGAATGGACTTGACAGTAGCCAACAACAACACAAATCGCAGAGACATGTGATAAACTAAAAAAGATGTAGGGCTTATTGTCCTTTCTGACCACGTGTATTGAAAAATTCCCATCATGACAAAGGTAAATGGGCCTCTGAAGCAGCCTCTAAAACAGAAAGGTATCCAATAGAAAAAGGAAGTTCAAGGCAGAGAGAAATTACTGCTTTTATGTTAGGACTTCCAACATTTGTAACACATCAAGTGCAACGTGTCAGTGCAGGCTGTGTCAGGAAACCGGGAGCGTCAGTATGACTGTGATTTCTCTTTGCCTGAGCTCGGCTGGTGGGCCCGAGACTTTTAAATACTGGCATGCTAATGTCTCTATTGCTACTGTTAGTTCACTAGAGGTTTGCTCATCCCTCGCCGAAAAAAAATCTTCATCTCACTGCCAGGAAATGATAGATGTTGCAAAAACCCAGAGTGGAAAAGGGGATGGTAGTATAGGGCCCTGTATTCACCATCATATTCTTGTCTACTGCCTGAAAGGTAGTCTTCCTCTGAAAGCTAATCAAGAGGATCAAGGTGATTGGTCAACTCAGTTTCCTAGTACTGCTCCAGGGAAGGATTCTCTCTTAGACCTCTCATGTGGGAAAGCTTAGTTTCAATGGGGGTTGACGGACACCACAGAAAACAGTCTCACTGGCAGCATTTTGTTGATGCCAATGGTGTTATATGCTTCAGCATGCAAACTGGGTTAGTGATTCAGAAACTCCATGGACTCGGCAAATACGCTTTTAGTTTGGAAGCCTGATTTAAAAAATTTAAGCCTAATAACCAAAACCCAAACCAATCTCACTGCCACTGAGTCGATCCCAACTCATAATGACCCTAGAGGACAAGGGAGAACTGGCCCTGAGGGTTCCTGAGGCTAACTCTTTATGGGAGTTACTCTTTCTCCCACGGGGAGGGTAGCTGGTGGTTTCGAACTGCCGACCTTAAAGTTAGCAGCCTAACACATAACCATTCCGACACTAGGACTGATAAGTAAACTGAACACCACCAGCTAATTTTCTGGAGGGGAGTGTGCAGAGATTATAGGGAAGAAGAAACCTTACCCTCCATGAAAACGTCCTCTTTTCTGTTCTTGCTGAATCCGAATGTTCTCCAATCGAAGTGGGCTCGGGATGAAGCCAATCTCACAGCCTTCTTTGACCAGCCTCCCTATCCACCAATCATTGTTATATTTCTGGAATGCAGAAATAAGACAGCTATCAAATCACTTAGCTTCACATTCCATTATTTAATTTCAGAAGACCAGTAGAACTGAGGGTGCTTCAAAAGGTTCGTGGGAAAATTCTGTGGCCTTTTCATTCCGTTTTCCACAAACTTCTTAGTCTTCTTGTGCATGTGATGGTGTGGACATTTTATATCACGTTATACTGTTGTTGTTGTTGTTGTTGTTGTTGTTAGGTGCCACTGAGTTGGCCTCGACCCATAGGGACCCTGTGCACGGGATGCTGCATGGTCCTGTGCCATCCTCACAATTGTTCTTTGGCCTGAGCCCATTGAGGCAGCCACTCTGTCAATCCATCTCATAGAGGGGCTTCCTCTTTTTCGTCCTCCCCCGCCCCCTTACCAAACATGATGCTTTCTCCAGGGACTGGTCTCTCCTGACAATATATCCAAAGTATGTAAGACAAAGATCTGCCATCCTTGCCTCTAAGGAGCACTGGGGCCTTGCTTCTTCCAAGACAGATCTGTTTGTCCTTTTAGCAGTCCATGGTACTGTCCATAATCCTCTGAAGCACAATTCAAATGTGCCTATTCTTCTATGGTCTTTTTAAAAAAATAATTTTATTAGGGGCTCATACAACTCTTATTACAATCGATACATACATCAATTGTGTAAGGCACATTTGTACATTCATTGCCCTCATCATTCTCAAAACATTTGCTCTCCACCTAAGTTCCTCATTTTTCCCCTCCCTCCCTCACGAACCCTTGATAATTTAGAAATTATTATTTTGTCATATCTTGCACTGTCTGACATCTCCCTTCACCCACTTTTCTGTTGT